TTCGTGAAAATGAAACTGTAGAGTTTTTGAGATTTCTTTTATATAATTCCTGTTGAATAAAGCTGGTATTGAAGTCCCAGGCCTTCCTAAAAGGACAGTGGCAATTCCTTGGCAAGAAGCTCGGTTGTTGAGGGAGCTGGGATGCCTCGTTCCCTGTCTCGGGATGCTGTGGGATGTGCCTGTCCTTTCTTCGGCTTGCTGCTGCAAGGAGCTGGTATTCCCTCATTTTCCATGGACAACCTGTTGCTTGTAACTTCATAAACGGTATTAAGATGAGATGTGCCTTTTTTTTTATTAATTTTTTCATTTTTAGCAGCTAGTCTTAGCAATCCAAATGCTGCTACTGCAATGGAAGCTTTTAATTTCAAGTTCATAATACTAAGAAAAGCTGCAAACAGAGGCACGACAAAGCAATTTATTTGTAAAGGTGGGAAAGTCATGTGTGGTAGGTCGTGTTTTGCAGGCTGGCATTGCAGTCGTTCTTTAAGCAGTTGTTATGTTCTAGAAGTTTTTGTCTTGGATTTAAGTGCTGTAAAAGGAAAAAGGTAGTTGCCAGTTTGAAGGAAACTTTGTTTTCTGTCTTTTAATTGCTGGCATCCTCAATGCGGTATGTTCTCATTGCATCAAAGTACACCAAAAGCATTTTTAGGTGGTGGATAGGGAAGAGATCTGTAGTCCTTGTTTCTCCCAGAACTGAAGTCTTACCCTGTTGGGAGTGCACGGAACCTTTTTCTTTTAAGTTTGCTTTAATTTTGAATGCTTAAACAAATACTGCCATCTGAAAAAAGCCATTTGTATAAGGTAACATTAAAATTTAAGGTATCCTCTGAGAAGGTGATATGCATTTTGGTAATGAAAAGTACCTTGTGAATATATATGTATAGTAAGTTTGTTTTTCATTGCACTGAGTTCAAGTGTTCGGAGGCCCGATAGCCTATCTGCGGCCTTTGTTGAAAATGTTGACTGTTCATTCATCAATGATTAACAGGTTGTTTTATTTAAAGGCACGTATCTGCTTCCTACTGTGTCAGTATAAAAAACTATGTTCTGAAAAAGCTGTGTGTACAGTCCCTATTTGAAGAATGTTGTGTGTTGATCATGGAAACTTTGTCCTGCCTGCGTGAAACTCTCTTCCTTATCAATTTGCAAGGATTTAGTGCTAGCAGACTTTTCTGTGAGACTGAACTTAAATATGGCAGATTTCTAAAGTATTAAAATACAGAGCATTACTGAGCTCAGGGAGAGGTCCTTATTTTCAGTCCTTATATTCATAAATTGTCATAGTGCTTAATGGGCTGTACAATTTTCATTCAAGTTGTAGCATCAAGTTGTAGCATCATAGAAGTATTTCTGCTTTCTAATTTTTTTCACTTTTCTAGCAAGAGTCCTTCACTGTTCTTAGCAGGAGAAAGCAACATGAAAAAGTCTGAAATCCCTTTCAAATAGCAAATGAATGTTGAAATGTTTTGAGTATAAGGCATTTTGTGTGTGCGTGTATGGGCACGTTGAAGGACGTGTTCTTGTGATTCTGATAGTGAGAAGACAAGAAGCCTCTTTTCGTGGATTTAATTCCATGTTTATGAGCATTTGGAGCCTGTTAGTGCAAAAATGAAGCTCAGGGAGTGAAGTTATAGCTGGAAGTCCTCATGTACATACAGAGCTGTTTAGTGTTTAGCATATATTTAAGTTTCACTTAACTGTGTATGTCTGGTTTTGGAAAAACAGCCATGGAAGTGGTCAGAAACTATTTTGATCTAGGTAATGCTTTTCCTGTTCGGATTTATACATTGTTAATGAGTAATGGGTTTGGTGAAGGAAGGGAATACAGTTAAATTAATGTGCTTTTTGGTTTGAAACTATTAAAGGTTTTTGCAGAACTCAGTCTTGAACTTAAAACAGTCACCTTAAGAAAAACGGCGGCGAGGAGGTGCAGGGCTCGGGAGCTCTACAGGGACATCTAGTGGGACCTGCCTCTCTGCAGGACTCTCCTTCCCAAGCTGGGTGGGGAGAGGATTGACCCTTCTGCCAACACGGACGTAGAAAGTACACTGAAGTTAATGTCAGGAAACTTTGAGCTTTCTAAAAGCTGTTTTTCCCATCAATAAATGAGAAATTCTTCACAAAACTAGCCTTGATAAGGTTGGGTGCTGTTGAACTGAGCATTATTGTAGACAACAACATACCTCGTTGCGTGGCTCGAGGTATGAGGAAGTATTATTGTATGCTATGTGGTTTATTTAAAATAGTTCCTGATAAGAAAGTTGTATCCCTCAAAGACGTACTTATGAGCTAAGCTGTATGTTGTAGTTAGATTGATGGCTTTGCATTTTTTTATGCTTCGCTGAAAGCAGTAACTTACAGGTGCCTTTCAAAAATCTTGCAATTCTCACCAAAAAATCTGGCAGAAGAGAGAGCAACAGGGAATGAAAGTAGCTGGAGGCTTGGTTGGCAGGACAGTTAGCTGTCTTGTTTGTTGTTCAGGACAAAAGTTCTGGCTTTCCCTTGAAAACTAGAAATCGGTATATTGAGTTTGGAAGTACTAAGCATTCAGAAGAAAACCCCTCATTACGCTTTCATATCATGTTACTGTTTTAAACTTAACTAGTATGCTGCCTGGGTTATGTGGCAGTACGTTGGCTTGTGAGCTTCCAGTATCAGCTTAGCATATCACATGTCCTGCAGTTTCATCTGGGGTTGTTCTGGTTATAATGCTGAAACCATTGAAAACAATGTGAAACCTCTGAACCATATTCCTATGCGTTGCTTGAGAAAATGTTCTAAAAACTATATCAAGCATTCTGTGTCATAGGCTTTCTGTTTGGAAAACACTTTTATTAATACACAAAACTGTTCTTTTAATAATGGCACTTAATTGTCTTAATTAAAGCAAAAAAGCAACTGGCAAATGCAGGCCAGACAGCAAAGCCTTCTTACTGTCTTGTGTGGAAGAGCAATTTTAGAAGGATGCGAGTGTTGTGCAAGCCACCGGCCTCCCGCCGCAGCAGCCAGGACACTTCATGGTGCTGCTTTTGCCACTTCCTTGAAATAGAGGAAGAACCTGAAGGTTTGTGCATTCCCCGGTGCAGGTGTATGTTGTCGCTTCAAATGACAAGCCTGGTGGCTTCATGGCAGGACAATTTACATGGGAAGTGCAGCTCTGCAGGCCGATTGGGAAACGAATGCAGAAACTGTGCTTTTGAATGAGGAGACCTCGAGGTTACTCTCCTAGCGTCCTGGGGAATCGAGGTTCATCCCTGAAGACAGTGGGGTGATGCTTTGTTCATAGTAGCGTTCTTTATGCTGTTAGTGCTCTCAAGAGCAGCTCTACCAAAGGCAGCCATTCTACCCTCCTCAAAAAAAAAGAAAAGAAAAAGAAAGGGGGGGGGGACTTGGATCGTAGAAAAATAGTCTTTTACTGTTCATCAAGTTTTGTAATGGATTTTTTTCTTTTCCTTTGAATTAGGTAGAGGAGGATACTAATTGGTTTTGGCTCTCTGATTCTGCCAGTGCTGCAATCACCCCCCTGCCCTTGTGGTTTGCCTTAAACATAGTGTACTTGCTATATCTAGTGAGCTGGGTTTTCTCTTTTAAAGGTGCACAAAACAAGTCCATGCCTGTTTTAATCTCATTAAGTTCCTCTCTAGCTGTTTCCCGTTGGTTGTGGATATTGCCCATATTTGGTTCTAGCTATTGTACAATCAGTTTATATCTGATTGTGTGGTATGATATGCTGTCTTGCCTGAGCAAACCCCGATAGTTTATGATTAGATGTGGCCTAGATTAGCAGCTTATGATTTTAATGTTTAAAAGTACATTATAAAAGATCTTTTATGTAATGCAATAAGTTATTTTTTCCTGTGAAAGATGTAACAAGAGGCACAAGGACTTGCCTGCAGCAAAGCTTCTGAATTAAAACCGAGCAGAGGGAAGGGATGGTATAAATTATATAGATCGTTCCTTTAGAGTACCTAAATACAGACATGGCAGTGCATGGTCAGGAAACTATTCAATTTGGATTAATAAGCTGCTTTCACAGTCTCATAATCACAGCTCTTGTGAAAACACATGCTCTTATATTCTTCAATGGTGTGTTTTATGTACTTGTATTATACTTTAAAAATTGAACATCTGAAAGTGTATTTCTCTCCTAAACACTTTAGTGGCTTATTTGAAAGTACTCATGGTTTCAGTGAGTGCCATGGACTTCTAACCATGCTTTCTGCTGGCCTTCATGTTAGCAAACTGTTTATTAATGAGAAATTGTCACTAGTGTTTCGTTCTCTTGTAGATATTTGTTGTTCTACTTGTGTGCATGTATATTAATAAAATTAGGTGGATAAGAATATCCACTTAATTTCTGTAAGAAGAGAGTGGTAATCAGAACACTCGGTGATGCTGCCTAAAATATTTTTAAATAAGCATCTGTTTGGAAAGACATACAGGTAAACTGTCCAGGTGTTTTCCAGAGTTTCTTAGTCACAACATTGTGCTCGTCTTTCCAACTGAACTGTCCGTTTAGATCTTGCTGAGAAGATAAAAGTGCTGCTTTACATTCACCATCATCTGTATTGGCAGTGAGGGGGACAGGTTGAGGAACCATCTTTGCTTAATGAGTGGCATCTCAGAAATGCTATGTTTTGTCTTGAACAAGATCACATTACTTACAGTTCCTGAGCAATACTTGAACGGTAAAGCTGAAGGTTTTCAACAAGGCAAGCATATAATTATTTTTATGATGATTCCAGTGTATGATGATTCAGCTGTCATCTGGAGAAATGCTGAAAAATTGTTTCACTATTAAATAAATACAGCTTGTGATATCTACCTTACAGTTAACAATCTAATGTTTCACACCCCAGCATCTTGTGGCTGTCCTTTGTGCTTTTGTACTTAACAACAAAAAAGGGAGTTTGTTGGTTTGTTTTACAACTGTAGTATATTCTGATTTGTAAGGGAGCATTCTAAAATTCTCTTTAACAATACATTTCTTCTCTCAATAGCCGACTACTCCACCAAGCCAAGGGAGGCCTGATTCACCAGTTTATGCTAATTTACAAGAACTGAAAATATCTCAGTCTGCACTTCCACCACTACCTACAAGTGCTCCGGTCCAAATAAATGGGGAATGGGAAACCCATAAAGATACGACAGGACGCTGTTATTACTACAACAGAGGATCACAGGAACGAACCTGGAAACCTCCGCGGTGGGCCCGAGATGCAAGCATTAATAAAGGGGATTCCCAGAGCCATGCAGATCATGAGGTAGTTCCTTCTGAGATCACAAGCAATGAGATTGTAATGCATATGAATGCTGTTTTGCTATGGAATTTGGTATCTCTGAGTTTTGAGGTGTCAAGGAGTGTCATTGTTTGTCTTTTTGGTCATGTGTCTTGGTGTGAAGTAGTAAACAATTTAGCTCTTCAGTTGCTTTTGTGTACAAGAATGTGTACATGAACTGTGTACAAGAGTAGTAAGTTGTAAAAAGTGCCTTACAGTCCCTCAGCAGGTATTGCAGCTTTTCTTTTAAAGGTAAAGGAAAATGAAGATATTTTGAAACTAATAGGACTATAAGTGACAATAGAGTAATGACAACCATCGTAACTTCTCTGACATGGAGTGCTTTCTCTTTCGTGGTGTATTTGGCACATATTTGGGGGAAAGGAGGGGGAGCGTGACAGTGCTTCTAGAAGCAGGATTTATGGGCATGTGTTGAAAAAGGCAAGGAGAATTATTTTTATCAACATCAGTTAAATACACAGTAAAACAAAGGCAGGGGATATACAGGTGTTTGCTACTGCTTGGTTAATGCTGTGGCAGTAAATTTAAGTATGAGATGTTTTTCTTACAGAGGAATTAAGATGGATGTGGAGAACTCCAGAGTTCTAGAGCCAAAACCAGACTTAATGGAGTTCCACAGCACTTTCCACCCGTGTCAAAAATACTGACATAATTGAAGCTTCTATCAAATTAAAATACATTGATTTTTATTTTCTTACTTAGATTTATACATACTATATATTCTATGGTGCTTTTAAAATGTTTTGTTGTTTTTTTTTTTTAAAAAGGGGCATATGTGACTGTCCAAACTCAAATTTTATTTAGTTAATGAGTTGTTAAAGAGGTGGAATAATCATAGTGAATATAAAAAGCAAGTTTAGCTGGGTAACTTGTTGCAGCATTTTCTTTAATCATTTGCTTAGGAGATTTGACTTTACACACTTGTCAATGATTTCTGCCGTGGATAGTTGTAGAACAAACTAGGAGAAAGGGCAGTTAAAGGAGCAATATTTTGTTACCAAATTGTGTTAACTTTGAGAAAATCCTTTTCTTCATTCTGTGAATGATATCCTAGAGAACAGAAGACGAGAACATTAAAATTACTATGCTAGAAGCTCTGCCTAGCCAAGTGTCTAGGCCCAAGGGTAGCAAATGCTGATGGGGGGAGGAAATCCACCCCAGCTTTTGGCAATTAGCCGTAGGAGCTTTTGACTAGATTACATTCAGGCCATAAGCATATTCTTTAGATATATCAATAGATTTTTTTTTTTAATCATGCAAACCTCTTCCTTTTTGCAAAACCTTTTGGCAAAGCTTTGCCAAAAGGTTCTCGCTTAAGAGAGTTGAAGCTTGCCATGAAGTTATTTATGTTAAAAGATGATTGGGCTAATATTTGAGGTGCAGATACATTCTGTGCAGCCAGTTGCTGGGGGGAGCCAGACAGTGGTGTGTGTTCATCTGAACTGCAGTGGTTCAGATAAAGCAAAGGAATAGTTGGGAGATGGATATTACTATTTAAATATGCTTAAAACAGTGCTCTTGTGTTGAAACAGTTCTTAGGTTAATCAGTTTCCTGATTGAAAGAAAAAGCAAAAATTTATCAAGAAATTTTCTACATATTTCACTTCTATATACCCTTTTCAAATATGCATAGTTTAGGTGGATTTCTTCCTGAGCCTATTACAATGTTTAGTTTTAAAATTTAATTATGGACTGCTCAAAAATTTTAGATTGCTGGAAGCCCTGTCGTAGAAGTCTACCTCTGGGACAGTAGTGCCAGAAACAGGAGAGAAAGGAAAAAGGGACCCTTTCATTGCCTTTGGCAATGGCCTTCATAGCAACCATGATATCCGCAAGCATTTAAACAGCCAAATTTTCTTGCCACAGTCTAGTGGCAGCAACAGGTAAACTGGTGGAACGTTTGTGGCTGTCACTTTGGTATCTCCGGCGGTGGTCTATTAATTTCTCACTGGCTTTTCTTTTGCTGGATAAGACTCTCTTTTTAGTCTGGATAAGGTGATTGCTTTTTTGAGTAGTAACTCTCCTTGTAGTAAGTGTAACTGGTTTTCTGTTGTCATAATTCTTCCTTCTTTTCATGGAAGGACTTGCAATAATTCTTTCTCCTTCCCCATCTGCAAATGATCCCTCTGACTCTTACTCATACCTCTGTACCACAACTTCACCACATGGTTGCGTGTTCAAAAAGCTTGATTTTTTAAAATTTTTTTTATTGCCCATAACTTATTTCAGCTCAGTTCTTCTGTTTATTTGTGATGCTTGAGGCATCACAGATTGGCCTTCAGACAGTTATATCTATCAAGTTTTCAGTCTTTAAGACCAATGGATGATGCATGTTTTGATTAATTTTTAACTAGACACAAGTTTATATTTACAGTAGCACAAGTTCCTTAAGTAATTTGTGTCCTCTGTGACTGGGTTATCAAAGCTCGAGTCTAGGGAGATACATGTTGCAAGGTCATGTCAATCCAGTTTCCAGCAGTTGTGTTGATTTTGAAGCTGCTCTCCTCCCCCTCCCTTTTCTTTTCTGTTCTGCATTTGGGAGTGTACTTCACACTCCACTATTTATGTTCACCTTTTCGTTTATGACCTCTTAGTACTTAAACCAAGATACTTAAAGTAAAGGTTGAGATCCGAGCCTAAGCTACAGTAAAATATAGGACATCCCAAATTTTGTCTGATTATGAAGACTTAGAGCAAATATGTCTTAAATTAAATCTAATTATTATTATAATGAAGTTAAGTTGGCTTTTACACACTAATCTGAGTTATGCTCGTTCCCTTCAAATTTAGTAATAAAAGAGCATATGCAGGAAGGTTAAATGCTAGTTGTATCACTACTGATTTGTTGTCAGAGGAGCTTGTATTGTATTAGGTAGCAAAATGGCAAGGTGACGTAAAAATGAGAACTGTGAATGATAATATATTCTAATATATGTGTAATATATTCTAATATATGTGTAGTACATCAGAACATGAAATAATAGCTTATTGGTCTTAGAACTTTGTGATTAGGAAATTGAATGTTATTGGATAATTAAGAAGGAGCAAAATTGTACCTAATTTGTCAAAGAAGTTGGTAACAGAAATGGCACAAAGAAAACAGTTGTAGGTTACGGCAGTTATTTGGATGGGGTGGGGGGAAGCAGTGAAGTCCTATTGACAGTGCCTCTAGAAAAGTGTAAGATTTTGGAATTACGGATAAAATTTGTCAGAGGTAGTGACTTGTTAATGTATTTGAGGAAGGAGTGCTTAACAGTAACTGGGAGAAATTTTGTCAGATAGTGAAGTGATTTAATTAAGGTGGACTGTAAAAGGAATGAGATGGCATCATATCAGAGAAAGGCAAACATCTAATAGAATCATAGAATCATTAAGGTTGGAAAAGACCTCTAAGATCATTGAGTCCAACTGTTGACCCAACACCACCATGCCCACTAAACCATGTCCCTAAGATGTGTAGATGAGGCGCTTTTAAATACTTCCAGGGATGGTGACTCAACCACTTCCCTGGGCAGCCTGGTCCAATGTTTAACCACGCTTTCACTAAAGAAATTTTTCCTCATGTCCAATCTAAACCTCCCCTGGCGCAACTTGGGGCCATTTCCTCTTGTCCTAT